AATCAACCGCCCTTTGTCACAGTGCTGGCAGCCACTCCTTCCAGTAATGGGGCCTGCTGCAGTGCTATTTGCTTTTTTAATTTTTATTTGTAGTGCAATAAAGAGTTTATTTCAGACTGTTTGCTCTTACGAGTCTGGGCTGGCTCCAGGATATCACTCGATGGGAGAGATGTGGGCATATCCAGCACGCTCCCTCCAGTATGCCCCTCCTGGGGTGGACCAGCAGGAACTGCCGAGGCTTGGGAAGCCTGCGTAGGGGCTCAGGGAGTCCCAAGGTCACACGTGTCCAAAACTCGTGCCCACTGGTCCTTATCTGGACCTCAGTCACTAACCCAGATTCTGAAACAGAACCCCACACGTGACTTTTATTTCTAACTAGCTCCAACCCATTCTCAACTGAACTTGACATTCTCCCATCATGCCTCCTATACCACTTCTAAGCTTCCACTTTTCTCATCTGTCATAGTAGTTCTTCAGCCCCAACCCTTCACCGAGAGCTGGGGGAAAGGGCAGACGCTATAGCGGCCCTGGCTTCTCTGTGACTGTGGCCGCGGGGTGCCTTGTCTGCCCTCTCTGAGGCTTAGCATGCTGTCCCTCCTGCACGGCTCATGACTCCTGCCCCCAGCCCTTTTCTCAGTGGCTTTCTCTGCACGGCCTTCCCAGGATCTGCTGTCACTCCTTGGGGTTGTGGGGTGAGCCTGGTCTGCGTGAGGACTGGGGAGAGGTGCAAGGGAGCCTGCAGACTCTGTGTGTGTGTGTGTGTGTGTGTGTGTGTGTGTGTGTGTGTGCATGCACGTATGTGCACTTTAGAAAGGGTCAAATTGCCCTACCTGGTTTGGCTCAGTGGATAGAATGTCAGCCTGTAGAATGAAGGATCCTGTGTTTGATTCCGGTCAAGGGCACATGCCTTAGTTGTGGGTTCAATCCCCAGTGTGGGACGTATAGGAGGCAGCCGATCAATGTTTCTCTCTCATCATTGATGTTTCTATCTCTCTCTCCCTCCCTATTCCTCTCTGAAATCAATAAAAATATATGGCGTGGGTGAGGGGGAAGAAAGGGTTAAATTGCAGGGGGAGGGGAGGGGAGCTGGAGAGGAGATGGGCACTTGAGCCTGGGCTCAGGAGGTCTGGGAGAGGAGTTGGAGGGACAGTCTGGGCAGGTGGGGGTGGGGCCTACAGGGTTGTGCCAAGTTGCTGTGAAGGGCACTTTGGAGGAAGAGTAGGGGGACCAAGCCTCCCTCCTATCCTTCCCTCAAATTTTCTGGGGTCAGGCTGTGCCTCATCTCAGAAACAATCTCTGTGCTTCTCTGGGTCCTCAACCTGCCTCTTCCCCTGTCCTCAGTCTCTGTTCATTGCTTTCTGTCTTAGAGTTTCTGTCTTAGAATAGAAGCAAATACAACCCAAACCATGGGGTATGCGAAAAAGAGGGGCTATTCTCCCCTGGACAGCTCTAAATTTCTCAGGGAAAAGCAGGGACCCTCTTGGGAAATGTGTGTATTGGGCCCAAGGTCATAGCCTGGCCTTCTGCCTCCTGTCTTTCTCTCAGGACCCCCAAATGAGCCATTGGGTGCCACCTGTGTTCTTCGGCTTCTTAGTAATCCCTGTCTCTCCTGGGGGCCCAGAGGGAACCCCAGTAGTCTCCAGATTCTGTTCAGACCTTTATGGGACCTGAAAGGGAAATGGTGGGGAAATAGAATGTTTGGTGGTGACCGGGTCAGGGAAAAGGAGAGAGAAGAATTGGGGTAGGGGTCCTCCCAGGAGCGGGCCCTCTTTCTCTACTGAAGATGAAGCTCAGAGAGAAGCTTCGGCTGTGGGATGTTTCCAGAAAGAGGGGGCCATGGGCTAGGCCTAAACTAAACTGATACCCAGTGCCCTCACTCCAAGACTGCCGCACCTCCCCGCCCCTGAGCCCTAGCCAAGCAGGGCTCAGGGCACAGGCAGGAAGGGTGACAGCTTCTTTTATGGGCCCCAAATTGCAAGGAGGTGGCAATTAGCCCTTAATGGGTCAGAGGAGAGCAAAATTGTGCAAGGCTTGGAGGGGCTCCTGCATGGTACCCTCAATAGTGTCTGTTCTTCTAGGAGCACCTCGGCCCTCAGTCTTCCCCAACTCCTGTCTCTTAGACTCCAAAAGCAGGACCCTCCCTCCCCCTTTATCCCCCTCCCACTCACACAGGAAACCTGCTTCTGATAGACCCTATCTACTGGTTCAATATGATCTGAGAGCCCCACTCATTGAAAAGAGCTTCTGGCCGAAACCGGCTTGGCTCAGTGGATAGAGCGTCAGCCTGTGGACTGAAAGGTCCCAGGTTCGATTCCGGTCAAGGGCATGTACATTGGTTGTGGGCACATCCCCAGTGCGGGGTGTGCAAGAGGCAGCTGGTCTATGTTTCTCTCTCATCAATGTTTCTAACTCTCTACCTCTCTCAATTCCTCTCTCTGTAAAAATCAAAAAAATATATTAAAAAAAAAGAAAAGAAAAGAGCTTCCTGTGTCCCCTCCCCAGATCACTGCTGGGAGTTCTATAGGGGGTGAGCTGAGGTCGAGGGACAGGACTTCAGAGATTACATTTGCCATCGGATTAAGTTGCTTCGTGCCCATCAGATGGGCTCATGTGTATTTGTAACTCTCCCAGAGATCTCCGGTCCCCACTGGCATTCCCCAGAGCACAGGGATAAACATTCTACCCAAACTTGGCTTTAGTAGATGGAGGCTGAGGACTTTCTGCATCACAATAAAACCTAATGCATCCTCCTGCCCATATAACTCTAACTCACTTTGTAACCCTAAGCACTGGCTATTCTAATTCAAATTCAAAACGCAATTCTAACCCAGCTGTCATCCCAGTTCTACATTAATCTCCACCCATCCTTTGATTGTATTTCAAGCTTAGCTGTAAACCCTATTCTGTATCATAACATGGATCCCAGCCGTCAACCCTAGCCTCAGCTCTGGCTGTTATGCTAACCCTAATCTCAACCTTAATTACCATCTCAACCTCAAATCTGACCTCAGCCTCATAATTCCAATTAACCCCAACCTTCACCCCAACCTTCATTCTAACTCTAACATTAGTTGAAATCAGAACTCAATTAAACTCCAACCCTGCACTTCAGTTTAATGGAACGATGGCCTTACTCCCTCTTCCCGGTCCCACCTGCTCTGCCTTCTCCCCATCACTGACCCTCCATGCTTTGTCTCTAGCGGTCAGCCTAGTAACCCATGGGGTCACACGCCTCTTTTTTGGGCGGCTCTGGATCAAGAATCATGATGCCTGGGTGTCCCCCACTTGGCCAGGTCCCAGCAGCATCACCTGAGCTGAATCTTCATGCGTCTCCCGGCCCTTGTTCCACATGGTTAAGTGGGATAATGACCCCTGCTTTCCAGAGTGTGCAGGGCAATCCTATAAACCTCAAAAGAAAGAAAGAAATGAGGGTACTCATTGTGCACATCAGTGGGCCTCAGAACACTCTGCTATGGTTGGGGAGTGGATGGAGGGGCTTGGAGCACAGCCATGTAGGAGGTCCTTGTGCTTCCTTATTGTTCTGTCTCATTTTTTCCTGGGGGGAGGCGGAGGGTGTAAGCCTTGGTAGCAGCCCTGTCTCATCCCTCTCCCACGACTCTTCTCCCCTCCTTCCTGTGCCCTGGCAGGGAAGGGGTGGGTGTTGAATGGGGCCACTCATAACCCCACCCACCTCTCCTGATGTAATGGGAGGCCCAAGGCCTGTCCTGGGAACCCCCTGGACCAACCAGCAAGGGCTGCCCCTCCACTTCCTCAGCCCCCCAGGACCCTCCCACCCAGCTCGAACTTGCCCACCTTGTCTGCTCAGTCACCCCGATGAGCAGGCCAGGTTATGCGGGTCCTTGGTCTCCCTCCCTGCACACAGAAGCAAGGACACCAAACAGTCCCCAGAAAAGTGCACACGGGGCTTAGCCGTCCTCAGTGGAGACGTGGCACATGCCGGTGAGCAGGCCCACACAGGCACCCTCTTCCCTGTTCTCCCAGCATCCCCTCACTAACCTCCTCACTCACTGGGCCCCCTCCACACACCTGGCCCTTCTCCCCTCGGGTCGCACCGAACTGGCTTTAGTTCTGTGTGGGAATTTGGGCTGGACCCCTCTGACACCCCAGCTTTAGGGATCCCCTACATCCTAGGAGCTGGAGGATGACCTTGCATCAGGTATTGTTCGGGGCATGGAGGGGGCAGCCAGGGGAAGACCCTGATCCCAAACTGACCTCTTCACACCCCCCCCCTCGCTGAGCACAGCAGGGCTGACTTTCTTTGAGGGGCCAGAGGCCTCAGGGGGAAGGCGGACTGGACAGCCCTGGGCCCCTTTCCTCTGCTTGGGCCTCCCCTCCAGCCTGAGTGCCCCCTCCCTGGTACCCCTTCCCAGAGACCCCTTCGGAGGGTCAGGGATAGGGAGGGGCAGGGTTTGGAGAGGGAATGGGACCCCTATGCCCTGAGGTCAGTGCTAATCCTTCAAGCCTGGACTCCCTCCTCCCCAAGCTTGGCTTCTCCTTCCTCTTCCATGCTCCCCTGGGGAGGAAGGTAACAAGCCCGAGTGGCGAGGGGAGCTCCGTGGATGCCATAAAAGGGGGTGACTGTTGCCGCTGAGGACGGGGCAGGAGGAAGTGGAGGTTTAACAGGTGCCTAATTACAAGTCCACGGGCAGCCCTGCCCCACTCTCTGGATAGGGAAGAGCTTGGGTGCTGGCTGGGTAATGCCTGGGTAGGCCACTCTGTCACCCCGGTAATTAGGGTTTTGGGGACTCCTCCCCAAGGCGGGGACCTGGCCCCCTCCCTTCCATAGAAATAACTCTGGCTGCTCCCCAGCCGGGCCCTCATTGCGCCTTCCTACCACCCCGGGGCAGTGTCTGGGCCCTCATCTCCCCCCCTCCACCCATCCCTACACACCACCACCACCATCACCGGCCCCACCGCCCGCCCCACTACCGCCGGCCCGGGACACCCAGCCAGGCGGAGGAGACACCGAGCCTAGAGACATGGGCGTCCGAGGAGCCTTCCACCTTCTGCTCATGTGCCTGAGCCCAGGTATGGGGCAGGCAGTAGGCAGGGATGCCGCACGCTGGATGGCAGAGACAGGGGCGCTGAGTGGCGAGGGGAGGAGCCTGGCGGTTTCTGAGATGCCCTGGAGGGGCGCAGCCCACCCTTGCCCTGCTGCCACCAGGTTTGGATATTGCCAAGGAGTCTCTCCCCAGGAGAGCCCCAGGCCCGGAGTTTGGGGCAGAGGTCTCGGGTGGCCCTCACTGTGGGCTAGCACTTGCATGCACTTGCAGTGCCTGAGTACTGGGCCATGGAAACTGGGAGTGGGGTGGATGGGGAGCAGCAAAGCAGGGTGGGGGCTGAGGAGGAGCCTGGGAAGGAGTGTGTGTGTGTGTGTATGTGTATGTGTATGTGTGTGTGTGTATGTGTCCAGCAGGAGGGCCCCACCCCAGGCCAGAGCCAGGGCAGGAAGCTGCCTGCAGAGGGCAGAGCCTCAGCACTGCCAGTGACAGCCCTGACCAGAGACCTCCCCTCCAGGCCTGTATTGTGAGGGTTCCGGGACAGTGCTCCCCTCCAGGATGAGGTGGGAGGAGGAGGGCGGGGACAGCAACTCCACAGTCTCTTCACTCCGCTGGGGCTCCCGCTGAGGCAGGGCTCAGGTTGGATGTTCTGGCTCCCTGCCCAGGTTGGGGCAAGTCTCAGCAAGGGCCACTCTGTGTGGGCACTTGGCTCGGAGACCCACCCCAGGGTCTGGGCTGGGGGGTGAGGGAGTGTGGAGGAAGGAGCTTAGGAAGGGGGAAGTATGTTCAGCCTGTGTGTGTGTGTCTGTGTGTGTGTGTGTGTGTGTGTGTGTGAGATGAGTTTCTGGCAGAATGTCTACAACTCCCTGTTTGGTGAGAGCTGGGCTGGCAGAGCCTGTGCAGGAAGCTCTGGCTGTGCCAGTGAGAACCTGGCACATCTCCGTGTGGGTGGCACGTGTCCTGGGTGTGTGCTGCATGTATTTATGCACCGATATCCTCTTGGGGGGGAGGGGGCTCCTTTTCTCCCCTTCCTCCCCGCTCCTCTGCACCTCCGGAGGGGAGGGTTAGGAGCTCTGGAAGCAGCTTAGAAATTCACAAAGGATTTCCAGTCGAGAATAGACACTGCTGTTGAGGTGACATCCACAGAGGGCGCAGCCCCTGGGGGATGACTAGTCAGAACTGCCTTCTTCCTTGCAGTCCACTGGGATTTCCTCCCCTTTCCCTGAATCGCCCTGCCCAGGGAGATTCCTCTCAGGCTCTCTTTCCTCTCTCCCCGCCTCTCTCTTCTCTCCTACTCCCTCACAGCAAGAGAAATCAGGGTGAGACACCAGGAAGAACTTCCCCGGGAGAGTAAAGGCGAGCAGAGAGATTGGAGCCCTTAGGAAGAGACTGAGGAAGCTTCTGGAGAGACGGAACAGCTAGGGTGAGGCTCCCGGGCCTGGGACAAAGGAAGACACGGAGTCTAGTGCAGGGTGCAGGCACTCTTCCAGCTCGCCCCTCCTTCCAGGTCCCTTCCTTGAACACTTACCCTCCGGTTGGTCGGTCAATCGGCTGGCCCCTGGCTGCAGGGAAGAGTCCTCTCTCTGTGGGCTGCTTCCAGAAGCCCTTAGGGCGGAGCCTCTGCTCTCGGAGGAGTGCTGGCTCATCCTTGGCTTGCCTTGTGCCGCCCCAGGACCTGGCAGATGGCATCTGGATCCTTATCTCAGAAATTGAGCTGATGATCTGTCTGGGGCTGGAGGAGGCATCGCCAGGTCCCGTTAGGGCCACAGCGGGGAGTCTGCCCGCTCTGGGTGCCCCGGAGCCTAGCAGGGTTCGAGTGGGGCTGTTCTGAGGGGCAAGTTCAAGGCTCCCTGCCCAGGCTGGGGCAAGTTCCCTGCGCTGTTGGGTGTCGCAAGAGTGCGTGCTGGCTCTTTAGAACCGGGTAAGCTCCTGCAGGTAGGCTTGGTCTTGAATGAGCACACACGGACTATCCTGTGTGCAGTGGGCGTGTCTTCTGGATGAATCTGGACCCGTGTTGGTGTGCAGACGTGTCTCTGTATGAATCTGATAGTATTCGTGTGTAGGAAGGTGGAAGCCCATTAGTGCAACCCTGCATTTGGAAGGTTTGTAAGACCGTGACTATATGTGTTTGGCTGTGGCAGTGCAATTGTGTGTCTGCGATGCTGTCTAGCTGTGAGGTGGGTCTCAGGAGAGAGCCAGAGAAGGGCAGAACAGAGTGAGTAGCTGAGATCAGGGGCTAAGACTCCAAAGGACTTGTTGTCTCTCAACAAAGAATGAAGGGGGTGATCCAGGCTGGGCCAAAGGGTCTGGGGAACAAGGGGTGCAGGAAATTGGAAGGCAGAGCCTATTTGCCCTACCTGCCAAGTAGGTTCTATTCCTCTCTAGGTCCAACTGGTTGGGGCTAGTGCTTGCCTGGGGCTTCAGAATAAAAAGGAGAGGAGCTCAGTGCTGAGTGTCCGGACCCCAGGTCCTCACCCAGGATGACTCAGTGGGGCCGGCTGGCAGCAGTGGGAGGGGACCTGAGCGGAGTAAGCATATGAGGTAGCTGTACCTGAGCCTCACAATGACCAGAGGGCAGGACACACAGTTCACGCTGCTACACGTCATCACACAGGCTCATTGTCCTACAGATGCATGTGGCCTCAATTCTAGGCACACCATTATTCACTGTCACACACGAATTCAGCTAAGTCATGGCCACCCACTGTCATGCATAGGCATGCACCATCATTCAGAGCCCTGACACAACCAGGCACCTGCTGTCACACACAGGCATACAGCCCCAAACGGGCACCATCATATGCAACACACACAGACACACACACACACACACACACACACACACACACACACACACACACATTCCAGTCTTCCATTCCTTGGGCTGGGAAGGGACCCCAGAGGTGATGCTGTCCAATCCTCCTGCCTCAGAGGTGATGCTGTCCAATCCTCCTGCCTCCATGTGGCCCAGACAGAGGCAGCTTTTAACCAGAGCACTTAACAGCTCTGTGTGTTACAGATGCACACTGTACACACACACACACACACACACACACACACAAAATCATATATATATATATATATATATATATATATATATATATATATATATATAGCTAGTATGCTAAGTATCTAACCATCTTATCAGTCGCTATGATGCACACTGACCACTAGGGGACAATGCAGGAGCTGCCAAGCTGCAGTGACTTGGCAGCGGTGGTTCTTGGGTGATGCACCCCTAAACCAGAGAAGAGAGAGCCCTATTCCTCACAGGGCTGCGAGATTCCACCTTCAGCCATGGGTTATGTTGTTGCTGGGGCACTATTGGCCCCAAATCTGGTTACTGCACACTTGTGTTTGTGTTCCACATCCTGTATGACAGCAACTTTGCAGAGTGCCCTCTGGCACTCTGGGACCCCTCAGGGCATGTCGGAGAGCTGGTTTCGGCCTGATCCCTGCAGGCCAGGCTGAAGGACCCCACCTGCTAGAGGGACCCTGCTCACTCTACCATGGTGCCCCCCAGGTGCAGCTGGCTAGGGAGGGACCATGGAAGATTGGCTCCAGGGTGTGTCTGACCCATCTCACTCAGTCCCACCCCAATGGCCATCTTCTAATTAATTTCCTTTCAATGTGCATGAATCTGTGTACCAGGTCACTAGTGTAAATATAAAAGCTGATAACCTACCTGGTCATGGCATGAGTATCCTTACAGTACACATAAGCAGCCACAAATACTCATAAGCACACATGAATACTTGCATACATACTCTCACATGCATACACAATCATGCATACATACAAGCATAGCTAACAGCTATAAATATACAAACAGGATCCAGATGCAGTCCTACACATAATAGAATATGATGCATACACATGTCTGCACAGGCCTGCATATATTGCTTCATGCATACACAGAAACACACTCGGAGCAGCCCCTCCTTCCTGTGGAACCCCCGCTGAGCCTAGGTTGCTGCTGCTAGAATGGGGGAGGGAGAAGTTGAAGCTGATGACCCAAGTTCTGGTTCAGTTCCCCTGACCCGATCCTTTCTCCTCTTCCCCTAGCACTGCTGTCTGCTGTGCGGATCAATGGGGATGGCCAGGAGATCCTGTACCTGGCAGAAGGTGACAATGTAAGACTGGGCTGTCCCTACATCCTGGACCCTGAGGATTATGGTCCCAGTGGGCTGGACATCGAGTGGATGCAGGTCAATACAGACCCTGCACATCGGGAGAATGTGGTGAGTCCTAGACACATGGTGCCCCTTACCCTACACTTCATGGTCTACCTGATGGCCAGCCAACACTCTGAGGGGAGATGGGGGGCGCAGATAATAAAACCAAGACCTTGAACTTCCCCCAAGGCCTCTTGTGGAATGGGGCAACAGGGGTGAGAGCTCTGCAATCACTCCAAAGAAGTGGTGCCTGCCTTCAGAAGTTCCCATGCCCTGGCCGGGTGGCTCGGCTGGTTGGCGCATCGCCCTGTATACCAAAAGATTATGGACTTGATTTCTGCTCAGGGCTCATACCTAGGTTGTGGGTCCCATCCCCAGTCAGGGCATGTACAGGAGGCAATGGATCAATATTTCTCTCTCACATCAGTGTTTCTTTCTCTCTCTCTCTCTCTCTCTCTCTCTCTCTCTCTCTCTCTCTCTCTCTCTCTCCCTTCCTCTCTTTCTAAAATCAATAAATACATCCTTATGTGAGAGAACAAAAGAAGTTCCCAACTCACCCTTATGGGTTCCAAAGTACTTGCTCTTACTTGGTCCCACCCATTTTGTAAGGGGTCAGTGCACCAGGAAACATCATTCCCACTTTTCAGCTGAGAAAAGTGAGTCTCAGAAAATCTGAGTGACGTGCCCACCTGGGCCTCCTGGGCTCTGCCTGCCTCACTGCCCTGTTTTCCTTCCTTCCTCACAGTTCCTCAGCTACCAGGACAAGAGAATCAACCATGGCAACCTCCCCCACCTGCAGCAGAGGGTCCGCTTTGCGGCCTCAGACCCCAGCCAGTACGACGCCTCCATCAACCTCATGAACCTGCAGGTTGCCGACACGGCCACCTACGAGTGCCGGGTGAAGAAGACCACGATGGCCACCCGGAAGGTCATCGTCACCGTCCAAGGTATGTATGACCCATCTCCTCTGGGCTCCCCATCCCCAGACTTCAGAGCCGAGGCCAGCATGGCTGCTCTGCGCCCAGCTGTGCCTCTGCGCCGAGCCTGGCTCACAACTGCCCGCTTCCCTGCAGCTCGGCCCGCAGTGCCCATGTGCTGGTCCGAGGGCCACATGGCATATGGCAACGACGTGGTGCTGAAGTGCTTCGCCAGTGGGGGCACCCCGCCCCTCTCCTACAAGTGGGCCAAGATCAGCGGGCAGACCCACCCCTACCGGGCAGGATCCTACCACTCGCAGCACACGTTCCAGTCGGAGCTGTCCTATCAGGAGTCCTTCCACAGCTCCATCAATCAAGGTGAGGGGGGCGGGACGAGTGGGTGGTCAGGACTTGGGGGCCCGCTGGGGCCTCCCTGAGCCATCAGTGGCACCAAGTCTGACCTAGAACCCCTGGGAGAGACGCCTCCTCCCAGTCTGTTTCGGAAGCTGCTATGGAGAGAAGAGGAGGCAGAGGGGCGGGGCGGGGGCAGCCCAAAGCGGTGTGGCTGGTTTGGAAAGAGCCGCAGTCTGAAATTGACAGCTGAGCTGGGCTTGAGCCCTGGCTGAACTGCGGACTGCAAGAAGCAGGCCAGTGGCTTACCCTCTCTGTGCCTTGGCTCATCCTGCAGGAAAAGGGAGTGAGAACATCTTTCTCCCAGGGGCCTGTGAGGATGACGTGGGGTGAAGGGTGCAAAGATGCCGGCATACAGAGAAACCGGCTAGCACTCACGGGGCCCTAGGATTCCTCTGCTGTGACCCCAGCTTCACCGTGCAAAGGAGGCCGAGGCTCGGAGAAGGGGCATGTTTCCCAAAGGCCACACAGTGCACTAGTGATGTCTCTGTCCTGTTGCTGGTGGAAGGGTTCTTCTTTTTAAATTTAATTTAAATATACTTTTTATTGATTTCTGAGAGGGAGAGAGGGATGGAAACATTAATGATGAAGAGGATCTTTGATTGGCTGCCTCCTGCACGCCCTCTAATGGGGACCGAGCCCGCAACCTTGGCATGTGCCCTTGATGGGAATCCAACCCGAGATCCTTCAGTCCGCAGGCTCCATCCACTGAGCCAAACCAGCCAGGGCCGAGGGGTTCCTCCTCCTTCTCTGTTTCAGCAGGGGGAGGGTAACTCACCTGGGGTGTGGAGTGGACCCGAGTATGTGTGCCCATACTGTCCCTCCTTCCACCCCTCAGTGCCCAGGCAGGGGTGAGGCGCTCAGACCCCAGGCCCCTCGCCTCACGGGGGGCCTGTGGTACCTCCAGTTTCAGGTGTGTTTAATGGCGATCTGGTGCTGAAGGACATCTCCAAGGAGGACGACGGGCTGTATCAGTGCACCGTGGCCAACCACGTGGGCTACAGCGTGTGCGTGGTGGAGATGAAGGGCTCAGGTAGGTGCCTGGCCTTGGGGGCCCCGTAGCGAGCCTGGAGAAGCCGGAGCGTGTTTTGGAGCCTGAGCTGCCTTTGCCTGCCCATTGCATCCCGGGTAGGCCTCTGCCTAGGGCAGGTGGGAAGCCCTGGGAGAAATGTGCAACCAGAAGGGGTTAACTTGCATCTCTCACCCCTACCCACTCCCATCTTCCTCACTGAGTGTCCCAGGGCCCTGAGCCCCTTTCCCACGGAGCTTTCTGCCCTGGGAGAGCCTGACCGGCCTCCCCTTCTCTCTCCGCAGACTCCCGGCGTGCGGGCATGATCGTTGGCGCGGTGCTGGGCTCGCTGCTCCTGCTGGGCTGCCTGCTGCTGGCCATCTGGGCGCTCACCTGCTGCTGCTGCGGGGGAGCCGGCGGGGCCCGTGGCGCCTTCGGCTACGGCAACCGCAGCGGGGCCTGCGAAAGGGCCTGCGGAGACTTGTCCAATGAGATCAGGTAAAGCCTGATGCATGCTGCATGCCGCTGCGGACAGGGGACGGCGCCCTGCCCCTCCTCACCCCCGCCCGCCCGCCACTCCAACCTGGCCCACCACCGCCACGGAGCGCTGGGACCGCGGCTGCCAACCTGCCCCCCGGGCCACGGGGCTCATCTCCCGCCTCAGCCCAGACTCCAGCTCCGCCCCGCCCCCTCCGCCCGCGTGCGCCCCCCTCTGGCGCGCCCCTCTCTGCCTAGACTGTAAGCTCCTGGAGGGCAGGGCCTGCTTCCCCACGTTTCCCCTCTGGGGAGTGGTGAGAGCTCCGGTCGTGTGCTTTTAAAAATATTTCTTAAGACTAGTGCTGCTAACTTATATTAGAAACAAACTAGAAATAAAAACAGAACAAGACTTGCAGTGCTAATGATTGCAGTGTCGGGATGGGACGGAGGAAAATGTGAAGATTGCGGGCGGGAGGTGAGAAGAGAGGGGCGCACCAGAGGGCAGGGCAGGGGGTGAGGGGAGAAGGACCAGGACAGCATCTCCCGGGTCCCCGAGGTCCCCACCTGTCCCAGCCGGTGGTTGGGGGGGCAGCATCCGAAAGGGGCTGAGATCGCCTGCGGGGGAGAGGAGGCGGAGGGCAGGCGGCCGAGGGGCCGGGCCGGGAGGCGCCGCGGGAGGGGGCGCCGGGAGCCGGGGATGCTCAGTCCGGGCTCCGCGGGGCCGGCCCGCGGGGCCTCGGAGCCCGTTTCCCGCTCACCGCCCGCCCGTTGTCTCCGCAGAGAGGACGCCGTGGCGCCCGGGTGCCAGACCCGCGGGCGCGGCAGCCGCGTCGCCCACCTGCTGGGGTACCCGCCGCAGACCCGCCGCTCCCAGCGCCGGTGCGCGCCCCCGCCCTGCGGCCCCGAGGACGTGGCGCTGGCGTCCCGCGCCGCCGCCTGCGAGGCGGGCCCCGCCCCGGTCTACGTCAAGGTCACCGGCGCCGAGGCCGAGGACTGCAGCCGGGGGCCGCGGCCGGGCAAGGACGGCCTGGTGGTGTGAGCGCCGCCCGCCCGGGCCCCCGGGGCTGCGGAGGCGGACGGAAGGCATCTTCCTCGGGACACGAGTGGGGAGGCAGAGCCTGCTCCCCAGAGTGGGAGGTGGGACGGGAGGTAAAGGCTCCTCGGACCTCCCACGCCCCCTGGCCCCAGCGCTCTGGGAGGAAGAGGAGAGAGCGTGTCTGATGGGTTGGGGCGGAGGCCGGGAGTCCCGGGCCGAAGCCAAGGCCCCGGGGCCGGGCGGGTGGGTTATGGACCAGATGGTTCGGGGTGAGATCCGGGCTCTGAGAGGCAGTGTTAGCGCAATAAAGACCGAGGACGACGGCGGCTGTGGCTCACCGAGGGCTGGGCAGCGCGTGCGGAGGCTGGCTTCGGGTTGTGGTTCTGCATCGTCCCCGACCCTTTCCTCGTTCGATACACAGATGGGGAAACTGAGACACCCCCCCCCCACCCCGGCTGGATTGAAAATCCAGAATCCCACCTTTCTCTTTCTTTCTAGAAGGTCAGAAGGGGTAGGAGGACAAGGAGCTTGCAGGGACGACCTGTTTGAATGTTTCCAGACCATTCTATAGGCACCATTCTTCCTCCTGCCCACATCTATCCAATCCTGACGTTCCTGTCTCTCCCAGAGGTAGCCTTCCCTCTGGACAACTAGGAAGGGACTCGGTCACACTCTGGGTAGAAAGACCTTGGAAGGGGGTTCTACCCCCACACCCCTTAATGGAAATGGAATCGATATGTATTGGGCACTCAGTAAGTGCCAGTTGCTTTCTGATATCTTGTCTTATTGAATCCTTACTTTAGTCCCGAGGTTGTGCATTATCCCATTACACAGATGAGGAAACTGAGGGTCAGAGGGATTAGATGTTGACCCTCTGAGAGAGAGAGAGAGCAAGGCAACACAGGTAATAATTTAGACAGAATTAATTGGTCCAGGCATGTTGGATGCTAAGACGTCAGGCTGTTTCTCTAATATTCAAATTCTTCCTACAGCATTCCCAACAAAGGTCATTCCAACCTTTTCCTGAATTCTTTTCATGGCAGCACCTGTCTGCTAGTGCAGTCCATTCAGCCTATGACTATCGGAGATGTTTCTTCTACTGAAATCATTTTGGCCCCTGTAGAGCATTTATCCATTGGTCCAAGTTCTACCCTTAGGGAGCCCTAAACATCATGTCTCCAATTCCACCGCCCCTCATGGAATGGCGACTGAACTCCATACACGGTGGCTGCCCAGGCTCACAGCAGCACCTGGTCTGGTCTGGGGATCAAGGGTCTTCTGAAGAGCATGGGATCTCATAGTCAGGTCTACCTGCCTCTGTCCAGCCACCTGCCTGTTGACAGCACTGAGCTTCCTTCTCTCTTTGCCTCTTTTTCTCTTGAGGCAAAACTAGGCTTCCTAATTCTCCCTTCTCCTACCCTGGGGCCACATGAGGTATGGGTATGATGGACCTTAGAATATCTGGGTTTAAAATGTTAAAAAATAAACAAAACATTTTATTGATTTCAGAGAGGAAGGGAGAGGGAGAGATAGAAACATCACTGATGAGAGAGAATCAATGGTCGCCTGCCTCCTACATGCCCCCTACTGGGGATCAAGCCTACAACCCCAGGCATGTGCCCTTGACAGGAATCGAACCCAGGACCCTTCATTCCACAGGCCGATGATGCTCTACCCCCTGAGCCAAACCAGGTAGGGTGAGTTTCACATTTTTTAACTGAGCAAGCCCAGAAGCACTGCTTAGTTGTAGATAACGAGGAGCCCCTGCTGCTTGGCTTGCCTTGACAAACCTGTGGAGGAAAAAAGACAGACAGTGGTGGCACAGAGGGAGCCAGGGACAAAGGTCTTGAGTTGGGAATACAGGGGGTGACAGGGTTAAACATCAGGGGAGCAGAGAACCGCAGGAACCATCCATCCCTTCGTTGATTTGCACACACTTGTACTCATACTGTGCTTTCTTTCCTGGTGAGAGCCTGGGATACCCTTGCTCTGGAGTTTGCCCTGCAGCCAGAAGATGGCTTGTTAGATAGTTAGGTCTTTGGCAGGGCACCGGGCCTGGCACACTTCTGCCCTAAGACAGAGGACTGACTAGAATGGCTCGGGGCCCTCAGGATGACGCTGAGGAGCCTCCTGTTTGGCCTCTAGCAGGGCAGTGAGGGAGGGAGGCAGCCAGCTGGCTGTAGCTACGGGCTGTGTCGAATGACATCACCTTCCCTATTCCAGGAACCAGGGAGTCATGCTCAGACTGAGCCTTCCCTTAAAGGGTGAGAACAGCGAGGCGCTGGTAAGAAAAGCTCACTAATAAGCAGTGAGAGAGATTGTAGAGACTCTGGAAAAGCTTCCTGGCAGGGTGACTCACCAGGGAAGCCAGGGAAGGTCTCCCATCCTGGCTGGACGGCAGTGATTATGTCATTGCCACTGCTGGGAGCAGCGAGGGAAGATCTTGCTCCCAGGATATTGCTCCAGGGACCTCTTGATCATTTGCTGTTTCTCCTACATGAAACCGCATTAGAGTGGGAGAGAAATACTTGTGGTGGAAAATGTTTAACAGTGATTTTGGGAGAAGGTGGGGGTGCATAGGAGGCAGGGAAGCCTTGGTGTATAGCTTTTGCCATTTCTGTGATGTAAGTTCTCCCACCATGGCTGACTTAGGCTACCAACGTAATATAATTCCTGGCGTGGAGTCGGGAGAATGAGCAGTAGCACCCACTGTAGAGTATTTCCACTGTCCAGATACCATATGTGTCAACCTCAAGTAGTGAGACAAGAGGGAATCATCCTATCTAATAAAGAGGGAATATGCTAATTGACCTTCACACCATCACAAACATGGCAGCACCCACAGCTAATAAGGAGGGAATATGCTAATTGGGCACCACGCCTTCAAAGATGGTGGCGCACACAGCCACAAGATGGCGACACTCAGTCCTCTCAGCCCCACCAGGGCAGCAGGCTTGTGGCAAGGCTGGGCTCCTCCACATGCTTGCCTCTGGAATCCCCCAATTCCCTCAGCTTCCCCAACTGCCCAGGGCAGGCCCAAGGTGCAGGCAAGCTTTGGATGGTGGCTGCCCAGCCGTCCAGGGCCACCTGATGCTCAGGGCCGGCAGAGCCTTGTGCTGCTGGCAGCGGCAGCAGCAGAGGTGTGATGAGATGTCCCCTTCCCTTGATTGCTGGGCCACCTCCCACCCCTGAGGGATTCCAGACAGTGAGAGGAGGCAGGCCAGGCTGAGGAATCATCACCTCCAGTGCATGAATTTTCATGCACCAGGCCTCTAGTAGTGAAATAATTAGGAAGTGATACGTTTTGAGTACTGATCTCTTTTGTTTATGTAACTGATTTAATTGTAAGTTTATGTTATTCCATTTGGCTGCAAAACTTAGATGGATCATGTCACCAGGCTAGGAGACTGCACACGCGCTGCCTCAGAAGGGGGCCACCAGCTCAGTCCCCATTCTTCTGTTTTTCCACAGAGACACAAACAGCACTGAGTCAGTTGTCTCATTCTACTTCCCAGTTCTGCCTTTTGTGTCTCTCTTCAGCCTTGCTGGAGCTGAATGCTAGTTGCCCTGGTCCCTGAAACATTACCTAGGTAATGTCTGTGTCCTTGGTAGCTAACAGAAACCTAGCTTCGCATCCAGCCTGGGAAATCTAGTCGAGAGACATTCTGGGTCCTTCCTGACTCGGCTCCTTCCCTGACCTCTTCCCCCGGTTTTAGGAAGCCATCCTCTAGTCATCTTCTTGTGAGCCCCAAATTCTCAGACCGTGGGTGGCATGTAATCACAGTGAATTTCTTTCTCTGAGCTTCTGTTAGAGTAGCTGTTGGCACGCACGCTGCCCAATTACATTGCAGTTGCTCTGGGCTCAGGCAGGCTGGGAGGAGTCTGGAGAGGGAGGACTATTTTTTCTTGCCTTGCTGGAAACAAAGGAGTTCTGAGAGTTATCCATCTGTGTGGGGGCAGGCAGCAGGATCTGAACTTGAGCCCTGACCTCTATGCGTTCTTTCCTGGTGAGGCCCTGGGACAGCCTTGCTCTGGAGTTAGCCCTGCATCAGCCAGTCCATCTGGAGCAATCGTCTCACTGGTTCCTGGTGTGTATGGAAACGAAGCTGATTCCATTTGGTGCCTCACAGTTAGATTAGAAAAGAAGTGTGAAGGGAGAGAGTGAGGACAGAGGAAGGACCCAGTCAGGCAGGTGGGCGAGTTGGGAAATCTGGGGGAGCGTGGGTGGTCCCTGTGCCTGCCAGGAGCAGTGACAAGATGGCCCCTGCCTCCCCTCTGCTGCCATTGCCTCAGCAGCCTTCTTGGGTGCATGTTGGAAGGATGGGAAGGGCGGGATACTGAGTGCACATGGGAGAGACCAAAACCCTTGACAATGGAGTGATAAGGATGGAGCCAAACTGCCAACCTCATTTCCCAGAGGCTGAGTTTGGGGTGACGGTGGGCTCTTGCAGGCGTCTTTGGGAGGAAAGAGGAAAGGAGGGGGAAGAAGACTTGTAATAACTATTTGTGAGTTAGTCACGATCACGTATGCCAAGGAAAAGATCTCCGTTTTGGAGTCAGAAAGACCTGAGTTTGCAGTCATTTCATAAGCTCCAAAGCCTCAGTTTTTTTTTTTTTTTTTTTATCTGAAAAATGGCAAAGTAAGAACTTTTTTTGTGAAGTGCTTGTTCTAGAGTCTGGTACATGGCAGAGACGCCATAAATACTTGATCCCCAAGTCTCTAGTCCTCAAAAATGTAGTTTTATCTCCCGCAGAATGGCAGGCATAGAGGCAAAGATCTAACAAACAAAGGTTGGAGTGGAGGCTGAGGTAACTGAGATCTGCAGAGAGGAGGTGGAGCAAGAACAATGAAGCTTTGGGATTGAACCTGGAGCTGGCTCAGGGTCTGGGGGAAGAGACACAGAGCCCAGGAAGCAGCAGGTAGAGAAGCAGGAGGGGAGCGGGCCTTGCCGGAGTCCCGGACTCCACACACATGTGCTGGATGGAAGTAATCCTCGTTGCTA